TGCAGAGTGGTTAGGGGTGATGAGGCAGGCGGGCAGAGGCAGTTAGGGGTGATCGGCCAGGCAGGTGAGTGGTTTTGCAATCTACTGCCTAGAGTGCAAAAGCAATATGGCAAGGAAACAAAGATGTCCTATCATTATAGGTAAGCAAAAAAATAGGCTGCATAAGTCAACATGAGCATTTCCACCTCTGAGCCTTTAATTCTAGACACCTCTCATAAAATTTTTCTCCTTCACAAGAGTAGAGAGAAATATACAAGGCATTTTAAGACAGTAAGGAAAACAATGATCATTAAAATTCTAAACACAAGAATCTTTATTTCTTCCTCTCTCTCTCTCTCTCTCTCTCTCTCTCTCTATATATATATATACACACACACACACACACACACATACATACATATAAACTAGAGCCCCAGTGCACAAAATTTGTGCAGGGGAGGGGGGTGCCCCTCAGCCCAGCCTGCACCCTAATCCGGGACCCCTCAGGGGATGTTCGACTGCCGGTTTAGGCCCAAATCGGCAGTCGGACATCCCTCTCGCAATCCAGGACCACTGGCTCCTAACTGCTCATCTGCCTGCCTGTCTGATCGCCCCTAACCACCTCTGCCTCAGCCCCCGCCACCGTGGCTTTGTCCAGAAGGAAGACCGGACGACTGGAAGATTTCCGGTTGACCTGGTGTAATTAGCATATTACCCTTTTATTAGTATAAATATATAATTTACCTACCCTAAAGGGAAAAAATGTTCTGAATCATCACTAAAACAATATTAGATGTTCTATTATTTCAGATTAATCAGGAAAGTGATTTATGAAAGATTTCTTAAAAGTAGAAGTTCAAACCCCATTCTGGGAATCCAGGACTATGAAGCTGTGCCATAATAAAGCTTAATAAAAGTTGTTTTTGTTTTTAAATCCAGCATGTTTTCAAGCACTTGCTATGTGAAACATACTATAACTAATAATTTAAAAATCAGTCCTCACACCAGCTATGAGTGAGCATTATTTCCATCTATTTTTAGATGAAAAAACTAAGACTCAGGTAGTTTAAGTAAACAAAGTTGACCACAGCAGAACCTTGATTTAAGCACAGATCTCTTTTACTCCAAAGTCCATACCCTTCCAATGTCTGACAGGCATTTCTCTAACACAGGGTGGGGAACATCTGGCCCACACGCCTTATTTGGTCTTGTCCTGCCAAGGCATTAGGGGTGAATTAATTAAATGCTTGACCAAATATAGAAGGTTAATTTTTAAGTTGATAATTTCACATGGCCCACAAATCATGTCAGAAGTATCCAAATGGCTCTTGGCAGAAAAAAGGTTCTCTACTCCTGCTCTAATCTCATACTCTATATGAAGTTTACTGCAGTACACTGTTAATTCCAAACACCATCACTTTGTTACTGAAAAAAACTTAATGTTCAGAGATGTTAAGCTTCCATCAAAACTCATGTGGTGGAGGTATCCTTTTAATTCAAGTCTGATTCCAAAGCCCTTGATTATTCTTGGACATGGTAGTATGTCTCAAAATTAAAACATGATTATTAAAGCATAATAATAATAATAATTTCTACTATCATCAGTTGTTGTTTTTTAAATCACAACAAAAAGAAGGAAGTCATCTTCAGTATAGAAATATTTTACAAAACTAAGACTCATTAGACATGCTTTGTTTGAATTTTATCTGTAAAGGCTGACATTTCTTCAATTATTCAGCATTGTACAAAATGGATTGTACACTTTTACCTAAAGTCAAGGTTTCTTTTCTAAAGAGACTATTTTATGATACTCGACACTTTTTGCAAACTATTAAACTAAAATAATTGAATGGGAATCCAAAGCAAACCCTGATGAAATACTAAGTACCCATTATATATGACTATACACCTCCACTAATCTAGATGATAGCCAAAGAGTACATATTATAAAATCCTTTGAGGACTCTTTTATAAAAATTAAAGTTAATATCTGATGAATAAATGAGGGAAGCTTAAATTTCAGTGGTTGCACTCTATTCTGTTTCCTAAAACAATCATTTACCTTCTATAAAATCTAAAGATGGTTTCTAGTTCTGACAGACAGTAAGAGTAGGAGGCTGTGTCTTGGTCAGCCTAAGGAACATTCTCCAGGATTGCCAAAGGGAGTGGATCTTAAACCTATCACTCTTGATTTAGAGAAGACCAGATTGCCCTTCTCAATCAAAGCTGTCATAAATCAAACAACTAGTGGTTGAAGCATTTTCAGTATGGCCACTCCTGAGTAACAGACACACAGAAATAAATGGAATCAACTGTGTATCGGTGTGTCACAATACACTTTCTAAATACTAATGGCATATGCACAATACTATTCTTAACAGAACTATATCATACCTAAAAATTAGTTAAAGTCTGACTGATAGTCTCATGTCTTTCTAGCATATGAGTGTCAATTATAAAGCTATATATTGTTTTTTATATTAAAAAACTAGAAACATAAGTCATTTGAAATCCTAAAAGAAAAACTAAAAATTCCAAGATGTGTTTTAATTTATGTATAAGTTCCACATTTACATGTAAACAGCTTAATAAAAGCCATTATACCACACCAACTACAGTCGAATGTTGGTTCTCTCGAACATCTTCCATTTCAAACAATTTGGTTCTTGACCAAGTTGTTCATGGAAAAATGTTTCAGGTGTCAAACAAAACTTCAGTTCTTGACCAACAACTCTTTCATGCTGACACCTGTATGATCAGACACTTGCCTCTCAGGCGACAAAGGAGAGAATACATGAGTATGAGACAATTTACTGCTAAACTTCGCGTTAACATCTCAGGAAATTGTGCTGTTAATATTTTCTTGCTTTTGTTGTTTTTGCCTTTGTTGCTGTCTACTATTATTAAATACATATAGTAAGACACCATGGGTCCTAAGGTTAGTGACAGCAGCAAAGTGGAAACTAAAGTTGTGAGAATAAAAACTAGAGCTTAAAAAGATATAACTGCCAATTATAACAGAGGTGCTCACATGTCTGATCTGGCTACTGAGTATGGTAAGGGGAATGGACAATTAACACAATTTTAAAACATAAAGAGGCCATTAAGAGTACTGACTTTGTTCAGTGAAAGTGCTCACAAAACAATTTTCACAGGCAACTGAGAAAGGTAAAAAAAGAAACATTTGGGGGTCTGGAATGGATTAACTCAATTTACATTATTTCTAATGGGAAAAAATAATTAGGTTTTAAAACAAATTGCTTTTCGAATAGCCTTCTGGAACGAATTAAGTTCGAGAACCGAGATTCCACTGTATTCTAAATCATTAAATTTCTAAAATTTTATCCTCCCCCCTTTTTTGAAGTTTAATCTTTAGATTCACTACTTAATTATAAGTCTAAATTGCATGGTGCTAATAAAAATCCACTACCCTAAAACTAGAATAGCTGTACTACCTTGATGACCAAACTTTTACAGTCATCTTTTATACTGGTTACCTTTGTGGAGTCTGCTGACTGACAATAGCATTGGCAGTCTCCCTCAGATACACCTCCCAATCTGTTTCAGGGATTTCTTGATCTTCGGTAAAAGGATATCTATATGACAAAAAGAAAACACAATAAACGAAATGGAAGCATGCTTGTTATCCAAAATGTTTCTGGTGCTAACTGCCTCTTTAACTCACTGTTGAACTCTGCAGGCTTCACACATGAGTAGGGCTTTTCTGAGATTTCGGCAGGACTTCTCTGCAAGTCTACGAGCCAGTTGTGAAGGGAGATTCAGACCTTCCTTCTTGCACACAGTAGATAAAACATGGCAAATCTACAATAAAATAATTTTTAAAAATGAGCAATCTGTCAAACAGTATACTGAAATAATTTCTGTTGATAACATCTTCATAGATCCCCACTTTTTTTGGTTACTATCCTACCCAAGCCCACGTTCTCTTCAGCAGAAAGCCAGGGATCTTGCCTAGCTATCAGGAAAAGGGAGCAGCTGGTTCTGCAACTGGGGAAAGGCCTGGTCCCAGGTCCAAGCCTTCCAATCTCCTCAGGGCAGCTGAGAGGAGACACAGGGTCCCAAGTTGGTGGCAAAAACAGGGCTGCCAAGTTGAGCCACCTGGCCTGAATTCCACACAACTAAGAAGGCCTTATTTGCATGGACTAAGACAAGAATGGTGTCCATGAGAGTGGTGAAACTGGTAATCCTGCCTGCTTTATTAACCCTTCTAACTGTATTACTCCTAAAATTTGTACAACTGAGAGATAAAATAAAGGTATTTTACAACTTTGCAACTAATACAATGTCACATATTATCCATACTTTGCATAAAATTGCCCCAAATTACTAATGGCAGGAAAACTGCTTATTGTTTGAATTAAAAATTTTACTGATAGCTATTAAGAATATATCACACACACACACACACACACACACGTGGGCAAAAATAGGTTTACAGTTGTGACATTCTGAGTTAAGAAAGCTACTATAATAATTATCACCTGTATGTTTTTTTTCCATACAAACAACTGTAAATCTACTTTGCCATTCCTGTATATAATGTTCTTTCACCTAACTTTGATCCCTTACCCAAACAGTTGGTATTTTCACATCATCTCCTGGCAAAACCTATTTCTTCCATATTCAAAGTGTCCTCCAAAGGCAAGTACATCAGGTTGAGGCAAAAGACACTAAATACCTAAACTCTCCATAGTTTAGTAAAATTCGTAATATAGTGAAACCTCAGTTCTCAAACTAAATTCATTCAGGAAGACTGTTCAGGAAGCAATTTGCTCAAAAACTGAATCATTTTTTCCCATTAGAAATAATGTAAATTGAATTTAATTGTTCCAATCCTCCAAGTGAGTCCCTATTTTATATACAGTACATGTCTAATATACTGTTTACTCTATAAAGAAACACTTCTTTTGTTAAATTTATTAAACCACCCCCTACTAGCCTTAAAGAAATCACTTTACCACTCACTCCAGGGGTGTCTTTCAGGAAGTCAGCATGCAATGTCTTTGCTTTTTCACATATCACTGCCTTGGAAATGCAGTCACACATTAACTGATTTTCCTTTATCTAAATCAACAGTTTTTCTACCTCTTCAATTGCCTGTGACCACTGTTTCTTTCATACCCTTAGAAACATTAGCACTCTTGATGACCTCTTTGTTTTAAAGTTGTATTAATCATCCATTTTACCAGCAACAAAAACAAAACGATAAAATACTATATAATAAAGATGTAATATGCAAATTGACCATCACTCCCTCACACAAGATGGCCAGCCCCATGTGGTCAAAAATGGCCACAAGATGGGTGGCAGGGGAGGGTAGTTGTGGGTGATAAGGCCAGCAACAGAGGGCAGTTAGGAGCAACCAGGCCGGCAGGGGAGGGCAGTTAGGAGTGAATAGGCCTGCAGGGGAGGGCAGTTGGGGGTAACCAGGTAAGCAGGGGAGGGCAGTTGTGGGGAACCAGTGGCCTACAGGGGAGGGCAGTTGGGGTTGACCAGGCAGCTGGGGAGGGAGGGCAGTTGGGGGTGACCAGGCCTGCAGGGGAAGACAGTTGGGGGCACCTAAGCCGGCAGGGGTGGGAAGTTAGGGGTGACCAGGCCAGCGTGGGAGGGCCAGCGTGGGAGGGCAGTTGGGGTCAATCGGGCTGGCAGGGGAGCAGTTAGGCGTTGATCAGGCTGGCAGGGGAGTGGTTAGGGGATGATCAGGCTGGCAGGCAGAAGCGGTTAGGGGCAATCAGGCAGGTAGGCGAGCATTTGGGAGCCAGCGTCCTGGATTGTGAGAGGGATGTCCGACTGCTGGTTTAGGCCCGATCCCAGAGGGACACCTCCTGCCCCTCCCCTCCCAAGTGCACAAATTTCATGCACCGGCCCTCTAGTAAATAAATAAAACCACAAAAATATTCACAGCACAATTTCCTGAAATGTTAACAATGTGAGGTTTAGGGGTAAACTGACTAGCATTCTCTCCTTTGTTTATTGCTTTTTCTCATGCTGAGGCATCAGCATGAAAGGGTTGTTCAACAACTGAGACTTTTTTTTAAGGACAACTTGGTTGAGAACCCAACTATTAGAAATAGGAGACATTTGAGAACCGAGGTTTGACTGTACCTACTCATTTAAGGTAAACAATAATTTAAAGCAAAGAACACTTTTCCTATATTGGTATCTACTACTACTGGTATTTACTACTATATATATATATTGGTTTTTGCATCTACTAATGATTAGCATCCAGACCACAGATGTTCCTGAATTACTGAAACACTTCACTGCAAGTGAAAACAAGTAACTTGACTTACATCCTCAATGCTGGGAGCAGGCACACGAATTGCCAGACATCGACTACGAATAGGTGGTATCACTTTAGATGTAGAATTGCAACACAAGATCAATCTGCAGGTAGACATATACTTTTCCATGGTTCTACGCAAGGCATGTTGAGCATCTCTGGTGAGTTTGTCAACCTCTGTCAACAAAACCACTGAGAGAAGGAGAAACAAACTTTAACTTGCATAACTATATGCTTCTCCCTCTTCATTATTCAGCATGAAATCTTAAATAATAATCCTGATATATTACTCTTCCCTTTGACAAGGACATAGTGAAGTTACAAATACAGTAAAGATAACATTTTTATTTTCAAAATTCTATAAGACTAAGAAATTCTAGGCTAAATGAAGTTAAAGAGGTTAACTTACTATAGAATTCATTATAGCCTTTATAATATTTACTAGACACCTGGTGCACGAGATTCATGCACTGGGTGGGGGGGGGGGGGGGGGG